GGGCCTTGGAAGCAGGCAGGGTGCGGGGAGTGGGGCGCTGAAGCAGTGGGGCTGGATGGCGGCTGAGCCCTTCCCCCCCAACAGGACAGCCGCTCGGAGCATGAGCGCCAGTATCTGTTGTACCAGGGCTCAAGTGCGGTGGAGAACACGGAGCTTGTCAAGTCGCCCAGGTGAGTCCTGTGTGGGGACCATCAGTGGGACCCTGAAGGTGCCCAGGAAAGCGGGGCTGCCAGTGACCTGCGGGGAAGCGTGGGGCTGGGCCTGGCCATGGGACCCAGTTGCTCAGACGCACCCACCCCCTGCCCGCCCCACAGCGAGTACCTCCTGATGCTCATGCCGCCCAGCCAGGAAGAGGAGAGGTGAGTAGGGGCTGGGCAGCCGCCCCGCCCCCCAGCCCCCACCAGCCTCCAAGCCCTCACCTTTGCTCTCAACAGAGACAGACCTGTGGCCCCCAGCAACGTGCTGTCCATGGCCCAGCTGCGCACGCTACCGTTGGCTGAGCAAATCAGGATCCTGATGAGGAATGGTGGGTGCCCCGCCCTGCCCGGTGCCCCTGGCCCCACCAGCTCCTGGAGATGGAGGCAGTCGGGGACCCAGGTCAAGGCCAGCAGGCCCTGCTCCCAGAGGCTGTAGCTTTGCAGGGGCACATGCACTGTGGCACCGCAGTGGATGCTCTGCCGCTTCTCTGCAGTGGGAGCCAGGCAGGCTGTTGGCTTTCTGAGTGCTGTCTCATTTGTCTATTACAAAAGAGTTATGGGCTGGGGAGATAGCTTGGCGGTCTAAGTGCCTACCTGGCGAGTGCAAGGACCCGGCTTCAATCCCTGGAACTGCATGTCATGCTGCCCCAGAACCCTGGGGCATGTGCCAGCCACCAAAACTGGGCACGGTGGTGCACACCTGTAATCCCAGCACTAGGGAGGCTGAGACAGGAGGATCACTATGAGTCCAGGCTGTGTAGCAAGATCCTGTACCAAATTAGCTAGCTAGCTAGCTAGATATTTTTTCAAATGTTACGATTACTCCTGGGGAATAAAGGAGGATTTAGAGGTGAGGCTTTGGAAGGGCTTTGCATATGTATACACGTTGGGTCATTTTTGTAACAGAGCACTTCTGTAGTACTGAGGCTTGAGCCCAGGGCCTACACATCGTGCTGTAGCCCAACCCTTTTATTTTTTTGAGGCAGTCTGACCTTAAATTTGCAGTTGCCTAGCTGGCCTTAAATTTGCAGTCCTTCTGCCTTGGCCTCCCGGAGTGCCCCATACCCAGCTCATAATAAGGTGCCATCCTGGGCGGTGCTGTTTCTTGGTGCCCTCACTGGCCCTGCACAGTGGACTGGTGTGGAAGGGCCTGTGGCAGGTGAGTGGCAGCTCAGCCACAGGCTGGGTCGAGCGCAGGCTCCTGGCTTCTCCGAGGTGCCCACAGGTGGTCTTGGGGCTTGAGCAGAGAGAGGGACTCCTTGAAGGTGCTGTAGTCCCAGGCCTGGCCTTCTCCCCACAGGCCCTGCCCTGCTTGGGGGTCACGGGTGGCACTGGATAGGCTGAGCCCTGGCTGTGCAGCTCCCTGGTCAGGTGGCCACAATGAGCTGGCCTGAGGTGGCAGCATCCTGGAAGGTTCTCCCAGTCTTCTTGGTTGGGTGCTTCACAGGCACAGGCCTGGGCACGTGGGTGGCACTGGCTGGCAGGCAGTGAATGCCCATGCTGCTGTTTGGCGGATACTGCTAGTGCTGTGTTTGGGTTGGCTGTGTGAGCCCTGCTCTCCCCCTCCCTCAGTGAAGGTCATGCCCTTTGCCAACCTGATGAGCCTCCTGGGACCCTCCGTGGACTCCGTGGCTGTTCTGCGAGGCATCCAGAAGGTGGCGATGTTGGTCCAAGGAAACTGGGTGGTGAAGAGGTAGGCTGGCTGGGCTCAGGGCGGGAGGAGCCAGCTGGCTCCCGGATTTGCGCTTGCCGGGTTGTAAGCTCTGGCCTTCTGGAGGACTTGCAGTTTGTCCGGCCTGCGTTACATTTTGACCTTTTCTGCTTGATTCTTTTTTATCTGTTTTTCCCAACTAATGCGGAAGTTATTTTCTGGTGACGTTTTTTGGAATGTTCTGCCTGCACCCCTGACTCAGCGCACCTTCCTCGTAATTGTGGCCGCCTTGTCCCGCCCCAACTCCTGTGCCGCACGTGCGTGTTCTCCGTATCCGGACCCCTGCAGGCATCGCGGTAGCCGCCCGAAATCCCCTTTCTGTTTTGCTGCCCCTCCTTGTACCACCTGAGTGTGTATTGGCTATAATTTTCATCTGTCTGAAAATACTCTAGTATTCCCTTTAGTGCGAATCTGTGGTGACAGAGTTCCTTGGTTTTTGTTTATTTGAAAAGTTTTCCGTCTTTGAGACGAGGGTTTTGCTGTGTAGCTTAGATTGGCTTCAAACTCGCCTTGTAGCCCAGGCTGGCCTTGCACTCTGAGCAGTCCTCAGCCTCCCAGTGCTGGCCTTCCACGTGAGCCCCGCCCACCTCGTGCTCTCCTTCATTTTGTCCTGGAGGTGTGTTTTGATGAAGTGCAGAACTACAGCTGGGGGCTATTTTCCTCCGCACATTCTGTTGTATTCTGACCCTTCCGCTGTCAGTCCCGCGCCTGTTCCCTTGAGGGTGATTTTTTCCTGGCAGGCCTTCCTGAGCTGCATTGCCCTAAGTGCGGAGTCCTGTTTCCGTGGCCTGTGGGGGTTCATAGTCCTGGAGTTGTGTCTCCTTAGTGCCCCAGCGTGGCCTCCCTTCTGGAGTTCTTCGGTTACACTCACCAGCTCCTCCACCAAGCTGCTGGTGTGGGGTGTGGGGACGCGGGGACAGTCTGCTCTGACAGACCCCTTCCTGCCCTTGCCAAGGGCAGCACAGCTTCCTGTCACGTGTACTTGCATGATAGTAATGTAGGTGCTGTGCTGTAAGGTGAATAGCTCACAGGAGAACCGTTGCAGATAAGAAGTAACTTAGGCGAAAGTCCATTTTGAGGTTGGCCGAGCTTATGGTGAAGTAAGTTCATGTTGCTCACACACGGTGGAGCCCTTTCGGTGACAAACATGCTGGGCTCTCGCCCTGGGTTACCCTCGCTCTCCCCTATGCAGTGACTTGGCAGTGACCTGCTGCCTGTTACGTGGCAGCGTGTGTGTATGTTACGTTGAGTGATGAAAATGAGAAAGGCTGTCCCGTCCACACCTGAGGTCCCCAGCTCAGAGACTTCCAAGGTGTCGCACAGCAGGGCGGCCACCAGCCTGTGGGGCGTGGTCCTCCCTGGTCCATGAAACTAGAGCTTACCTTTACTGAGTAGCACGCCTCGGCTGCGTGTCCCGTGCTGTCCCTGTGTGTGCAGATCCACACTGCGTTCCCGACTCGCTCACTGCTCGGCGGTGGCTGGCTGTGTGTGGCAGCCAGGTCCCCAGCCACAGGCCTTGGGGGTGAGCCGGGCAGCGGAGACCTCTGCCCTGGGCACTGGCCCAGCTCTGGGCTTGGGTGACTTTGCTGTTCTCTCTGAGGGCTGCTCTGCTCTTTGTCCCAGGCCTTGTCCTGGCCGGGCTGGGGCACCTGTGGCGGGTGTGGAGGCCGTGAGCTGGCACCAGTGTGGCTTCCTCCTGGTGCCGCACGTCCCACACATGGGCCCGGGGTTCCGCAGGGTCTGGCCGCTTGGCAGTCTCACGCTTGTGTCTGAGCCCATGGCCCTTCCTTGGAACTTGCTGGTTTGTGAGTGGTGGCTGGAGAAGGGCATGGGGTAGGAGGAAGGATGCCCACGGTGGTGAAAGGTGCTGCTCCCCACCTAGGTGTTTACGGAGCCAGTCTCTGAGGAGGGCAGTGAGGCTCAGAGCAAGGACAGCCTGTCCTCAAGCAGGGTTGGGGCTCCTATCGCAGTAGACAAGGTGCTGGACCAGTGGTGGGGAGGGGTGGAGCCTGGGCTTGGCTCAGATCAAGGGCCAAGGACACGGCAAGGTCTGACCACCACCCTCTTGCTTTGGCAGTGACATCCTCTACCCCAAGGACTCGTCCAGCCCGCACAGCGGTGTCCCTGCCGAGGTGCTGTGTAGGGGCCGAGACTTTGTCGTGAGTACCTTGGGCTGTCAGCTCGGGGGCTGTGGGCGGAGGGGGCGGCACAGGCTTTGAAGACCCGGGCCGCGCTGCAGTGGGGGCTCTGGGCTGGCCTTCCTCTTTCTTCTCTGGGTCTGGGCTGTGAGAACCTCTGCTCCCTTCTGCAGCAGCGGCGGCGGCGGCAGCGTGGTTCATGTGGCCGAGTGATTCTTTTTACGAAGCCTGCCTAAATGAAACCCTTGCCACAGCCCGGCTGTCGAGAACACTTGGGTGGTGTAACACTGCCCGGGCGAGAGCCACGGGCGCGGGAGTGTGGCTGGCACCGAGGGGCCTGCTCCGCCGCCCCACATGCGTCCCTGCGGCGCTGGCACAGCGTCCGTCCGTCCGTCCCTCCCTCCCTCCCTCCCTCCTCCTGTGTTGTGCTGGCCCCAGCCAGTGTCAGCCTGGGCTGCCAGGGTCAGCGTTGCATCCTGCTTGGGTCAGTCCTGTGTCCCGGGTGCTGCCCTCGACGTGCTCCTGTGTAGGCTTTGTCCCAGAGAGTCTGGCATCTTTTCTGTCCACATTGGGTGCACCCGCTCTCTTGGCCGGTGGAAGCGCCTGTGCACTCATCTCTAGGCGTCAGGCACCTTGGCCTTGGCTGCTCCTGCCTGCTCCCCACCTCGCTAGGCGCGCACACACTGTCAGACTGCGGCTGGGGTCACCAAGTGTTCGTTCCAGTGTCCGTGCGCATCGTCAGGTGCTGAGGGGGCCAAGGCCGCGTGGGGCTGTAGGGTGCTGCGCCCTTCCCGCCCGCAGGGGCAGCAGCTATCCGCAGCCACCTTTGGGACCTTGCCGCACTGTTCCTCCCTGAGCCTTGGGTGTGCTAGGCCTTCTGAGGCTGGGGTGGGGCAAAGCTGCTGCCCGGGGAGTCCATGGTCTCGGGAGTGGTGGCTCTGGCTATCCCAGGCTGGAGGACCAGAGCCCTAGCAGAAAGCAGACTAAGTGGAAGTGACACACGGTGAGGGCCAGGGCAGGAGCCACCGTCCGCCCTCCCTGAGGCCCAGGAGCGACTGAGGAGCAACCGTGAACCTGCTGCTTTTTCTCCTTCAGATGTGGAAGTTTACCAAGAGTCGCTGGGTGGTAAGAAAAGAGGTGGCAGCGGTGACCAAAGTAAGTAGTGTCTCTGGTGACCCGGGCTGCTGCCGGAGGCTGGCTGTGCCTCACCCTACCCTGCTGCCCCTCAGCTCTGCGCCGAGGACGTGAAGGAGTTCCTGGAGCACATGGCCCTCGTGAGGATCAACAAAGGCTGGGAGTTCATCCTGCCTTACGACGGGGAGTTCATCAAGAAGCACCCGGATGTGGTCCAGAGGCAGCACTTGCTGTGGATGGGCATTCAGGCCAAGTACGACTCGGGGGCAGCAGTGTGCTACTTGGCCAGCTGGGCCTCATGCCTGCCTCCAGGGTGACGCACTGTACATGAGCAGGGTGCCCTACTGTCAGAGCTGGCATGTCCAGGCAGCGGAGGGGGTGGGCCCAAGGAGCATGAGGGACCCGGGGCATGCAGGGGGCCAGGCTCCACCCCACTGTGGCCTGGGGCTCCACGCTTGTGCTGCTTAAGTGACAGGAGGGCCTGAGTGTTGTAGGAGACTGATGTGGCATGGGGATAAAGAATTTATTTTTCTTTTCAGATTAGAAAAAGTCTACAATCTTGTAAAGGAAACTGTGCCAAAGAAGCCAGATGGACTATTGGGTACGTGGGGCTGGGAGCTGGGCACCTCCAGCTCAGACACTGGGCTCTGTAGGCCGCCTTGCTGCAGTGAGTCAGAGGCTGGGCCTGGGGGGCCTGTGGTGTGGGGCAGAGCCGCTGGTGTAACGTGGCATGAGCTGCTCCTGTGTGAGCTCAGTGTGAGTGACGTGGTTTGCTTTAGGCTGCTGCTTCCCTCGTCAGGGTGGCCAAGACCCTGAGCAGGGTGGGGGGCAGGCACCGGGCCCTCTACCACTGTCCCAGCCGGCGTCCGCCTGCAGGGCCTTGTCTGCTAGGGCCTTGCCCTTCTGCACGATGCTGTCCCCACAGGGCCTGCTGGGCTGGTCTCTGGGGACCAGCGGGTCCAGGCAGCCAAGGCCAACGCTCAGCAGAACCATGACTTCCTGGAGCAGGAGCTGCAGCAGCGCAAGGAGCAGCTCCAGGCGGCCATGGTGCTGCCTGGGGTGCAGATCAAGGAGGAGCCCCTGAGTGAGGAGGGGGAGGACGAGCCCGAAGCGGAGCCCATAGACACCTCGCCCGCTGCAGGCCTCGGCACCCGGCTGAACAACGGGCTGCCTGCAGGGTGGGCAGCAGGCGGGGACAGCATCAACGGGCACCTGGCCCCAGGGTGTGCTGGTGGCCCTGTGGCCCAGGAGCTGCGGGCTTTCGTGAAGGCCACCTTCCAGAGCCATTTTGTGCTCACACTAAGTGAACTCAAGCGCCTCTTCAACCAGCACGTGGCCGGCCTGCCCCGTGGCCACGTGCTCTTCAGCGGCATCTCGGACCACATGCTTCAGGACACGGTGCTGGCCGCTGGTTGCAAGCAGATACTGGTGCCTGTAAGTAGGGCGGGGCCTGCTGGGATGGATGGAGTCAGGGACATCCTCGGGGTGACTCGCTTTGCTGTGGTGGCTGTTGGGGGGCTCTGGGCCCTTGTCTGGAGGCGGCTCAGCCTTAGCATTAGAGGAAGTGGCTCTAGCCCTTCTGCAGCTGGGCAGGGGAGCTAGCAGAAGCTAGCTGCTCACACACCTGCATGTCCTCCTCAGCGAGCCGTGTGCACCCTACCTTTGTGCCAGTGGGCCGTGGAAGGGCAGGGTCAAGATCAGTGACTTAGGGGAGGTGGAGACACTGGCACCCCTGAGGGAGGCGCAGATGGTTCTGTCCTCCCAGCCTAAGCAGCAAGCGGGCTGGGGTGGGGTCGTGGCCATTGCCACAGCGGGAACTGCCCCACGCCCCTCCACCCCTGGCAGCATGTGGAGGCTGGGGCTATGCTGTGTGTTTGAGGAACAGATACTAGGAGGAGGCCCTGTGATCTCATGCTAGCTGGCTGCCTCCTCCGGGCCTCGCCCTCCTGCTGAGGCCTGGGTTGAGCCCCTGGTTCTTGTTAGGCCTACTTTTTTCTGTGTGTGAGCCTGGACTAGGATATCGCCTGGTTTGAAGGTAACTTGGGCAAAGATGAGGAAGTGGTGTGGACCCCTCGTAGGTGCCTGCCCACTCTGGGACTTGGCTGTGGCCACGAGACACTGTGGCCTTTGGTGGTGCACTCTTTGTGATCTGACACAGCAGCCATGTTGCAGGGTCCCCCACCCAGAGGTGCTAACCCTCAGATGTGGCTCGTGAGGCGTCCCTCCCTGTCCCTCCTCAGGGATGTCCCGGGGCTTCTATTCAGTGAGCTCCCACAAGGATCACATTAGTTTTGGCTCAGATGCCGGCCCAGCTCCAAGAACATCCGTGCTGCTTGCTCAGCAGGGTCAGTGGGCCACCTGCAAGGGCTGCCACGGGGCCGGGTCTGCTGACAGCAGGCTCTTTTGCACCTCAGAGAGCTGTGGGTTTGGGATCTCAAGCAAACTTAACTCCTAGTTCTGCCCTTTGCTTGTTTTTCTTCCTTCCTTCCTTCTTTCCTTCCTTCCTTCCTTCCTTCCTTCCTTCCTTCCTTCCTTTCTTTTTCTCTGTGTGTGTGTTTTTGAGACAAGATCTCTGTGTGGTTCAGGCTGGCCTTGAACTCACATTGTAGTCCAGGCTGGTCTCAGACTTGCAGTGATCCTCCTGCCTCAGCTCCCCGAGTGCTTGGGTCACAGGCGTGCACTCCACGGCCAGCTGAATAAGCCTTTCTTGAGTCTGCATCTCCTTTAGTATAGGCATACAGCGCTAGAACTGCCTGGCTTCCGAGGCCCAGCGAGACAGCGTAAAGCCTGTAGACAGTGTGACTTGCGCTGTGCCATCAGGTGCAGAACCCACCGTACCGGGGTCCCTCTCCTCCGTCCCTCTGCAGGTGCCAGACCCGTGCCACGCTTTGCGGTGACACGTGGACCCTGCTGTGCAGGCAGCATGGTTGTCTTGGGAGCCAGGCGGGGCCTCCGAGCCACACCTAGTGCGCACACCTGATCCTTGTGCGAGCTCACTGAAAGGGAGCCCTGGGCGTCCCTGAGGGTGGCGGGAAGGGTGCTTCACGGGCCACGTCTGAGGGTTAGCACTGCTGGGCAGGAGGACCCTGCGTGCAGAGGAGAGCCGAGCCAGGGTGCCGCTGCTGCCAGCAGCACTAGAAGAGCCCAGCTTTCCTTGTCCCAGACAGCCGCAGGCTTGGCGCGCACATTACCACCTGTCACAGAAGTCCTGTTGGGCTCCAAAGCCAGGGCGTGGCAGGAGCTGGGGTTGGAGCACACCTCCCTCCCAGAACTGTGCTGCTGCCACAGAGGGGTGGGATAGAGGATGTGGCCCCGTGGCCAGCGGTTGGCTCACACAGCTTGTGGGTCAGTTTCCCCGACAGGCTGCTGTCTCCCCCAGTGAGCAGAAGGTGTTCGTCCTCTGGGAGTCTGGAGACATGAGCGATCAGGTGAGATGACCTTGTGCCACATCCATGTGGTGGGGGCGGGGCGGGGGGCCTTCGCCCGCTTGCCCTGGAGCACAGTCCCGTCAGGCTGCTCAGGTTTTGCCCGCCGCTGCCCGGACCCCTTTCTGTGTGCTCAAGGTCAGCCGCAGGCCGACACCACAGCCTCACGCCGCAGGCTGCAGAGCGACCTTAGAGAAAGAGGTTCTGTTCCCTCCAGCCAGGGGCTGAGGCGTCCTGCTGAGCTCAGAGACCAGAGAGCTTGTTCTCAGCGGCCTCTGGTGGCAGCAGGAATCGGAAGCTCCCTGTCTGTTCCAGGCCCTGGATATTTAGGTCAGAGCAGCTGATCATTTTGTCTCTGGTCACAGCTGGCGTACAGGCCGGGGGACGGAAGTGGGAACTAACACGTGCTGCCCGCTGGTACAGGCCGTCAACCTGGAGGCCTGGAGGTTTTCCTTAAATCACGAACTGCCTACGCTTTATTAGTAGCAGTGTTTTGTGTTTTGTCTTTTGGAGCTGGTCTCGCGTGCAGTGCAGGCTGGCCTTCCGCTCACTTTGTAGCCCAGGCTGGCTTTGAGCTCATGACCCTTCTGTCTCGGCTTTCCAAGTGCTGGGATTACAGGTGTGCACCACTGTACCAGGCTTTGGCTAGACTTTATTTATTTATTTATTTTTAAATTTTTTTTTTAATTTTAACATTTATTTTGTGTGTGTGTGTGTGTGTGTGTGTGTGTGTGTGTGTGTGGCCAGCTCAGCCCACCAGGGGGCGGGGCTGGCTGGCATGTGGTGCTGGAGGATTGAACCGCGGTCCCTGTGCTTTGCCAAGCTTGTTCCAAGTAGGTGCTTTAGACCACTGAGCCATCTCACCAGCCCCTGCCTAGACTTTAAAAATTAAGGTTTGGTTGCTGCTGAAGTACCAACCAACCTGAGAAAGGGCGAGTTCTGCCCCCCTTGTACTTACTGATGGGCAAGCTGCGGTGGGGGTGGGGCTCTGTCTCCCTGGCTCAAGTAAGCCTGAGCCGGGTTTACTTTTGGCCAGAACAGGTGGCCTTTGGCTTTCCTAGCCCTGAAATACACTGATAACAGAAAGCAAAAAGTAGTAAGTGCATAGTTTAAAAAAAAAACACAACTAGGCACAGTGGCTCGAGTATGCAGGTGGCCAGCACAAGCGGGAGGATCGCGAGTTTGGGTTGCACGTTAGTAACTTAGCAAGCCTGTCTGTATTTTTTGAAAAAGAGCTGGATGTCGCTCAGTGGTAGTGTGTTCTTAAGTCCGCCCCGCCCCAATCTCTATAGAGCTGTAGAGACGTGATCCCAGGCCTGCCCAGCCTTGTCCTCAGGCGCGACCACTCATTACAAGGAGAGCCACTGAGCGTCTGCGCCCTGCTAATGCACAGCCAGCCTGTGCTGCTGGTGGAGGTGTGGGTGGCAGCCCTGCTGGGCTTCCTGCGGTGTGGAGGTGTCGGGGTGGGGGTGTCGGGGGTGAGTCCCAGTGGTGCTGGGAGAGGTGTAGGAAGCTTGAGACTGCTTGTCAGTTTGTTGAAAGAACTGACTGTTGGAGGTAGCGCAAAGAGCGCAGCAGACGGCGTGAGTGCACCCCTTTCTGCCACTCCGTTTTCACTCACGTGGTGCCCTGCACACACAGGCCCCCTGTCCTGAGTGTGGCTTCCTGGGAGCTTCAGCTTCCCCTCTTGCCTTTCCTTGCCACGCTAGCTTCTGCAGTCTTCTCCTGTGCTCGATTTTAGCTTCTAAGGGTCAGCGGAGTTGTCTGTATGCGTTTGTGTTTTCAGATGGCTTTTGCCCTCAAATGTTGTCATTTGGGACTAGAATTCTAAGGGACAAGTGTTTTTCTCTGAATATGTTAATTTTGCATTTTGTAGTTGTCACAGAGATGTTCTTTTAAAATTGACCCCTATCCTTCTCTTTATTGAAAACTGACGAGTTGTACGTTGTTCATAATACAGCACTGTATTGCATTACAGTGTAAATTCGTCTTTACCCTGAACCCACTACCTTAAATAGTGGGGTTACACTAAGAAAACCCTTTGCCTTGATAATTCCCTCATCTTTTTCGGCCTTTTAGATTCATGCCATATTTAACACATTAGTTCCAGTCTTTGCTCACTGACAGTTTTTCAGTCTTTGAGAGGATTTCAACCCTCGGGACTTTTATTTGGGGCCCAGTGCGTTTTCCACCCTGCGTCTCGGCTGGGATGGCACTGTCGTCAGCACTCAGGACCAGTTCGGGCGCCTCTCCCTGCTCCCCAAGTTCCCACGCACTCTGTGGCTTCCTCCCTGCCACGTCGTCCACCGCCTCTGCCAAGCCAGAGTCGGTCGAGCGGCTCGTCCTGTGGCCCTCTGCCCGCTCCTTCACGAGCACACACCTTGACGTGGACATGGAGGGAGGAAAATTAACCAAGTGTGCTCGCCTTCAGCAAGTGCTGGGCAGGGACGTGGTCAGCCTGCAGTGTGGGGTTAGGTCTGTGGCCTAGGTTTCTCTTACTTGGGAGGGTTTCATTCTTAGGGCACGATTTCCCATAATAACATATTTTTGCTACTAAAGCATCGACAGGTGTTGTTTGAAATTTTTTCCAAAAATTACCGAGTACGCCGGAACATGATCCAGTCTCGTTTGACTCAGGAGTGTGGCGAGGACCTAAGCAAACAGGACTTGGACAAAGTGCTGAAGGTACGTCCGCCTCGCGCACGGCGGCTCAGGCTGTGCAGCTCGGTTCTGTGTCAGCTGCAAGTGAGGTGGGAACCAGGAGGAGGCCGCCCACGTGTGGAGCGGGCTCCAGTGTTGGCTTTCTGCTGGACGTGTGCGCTGGGCAGCAGGCCTCCGTGGGCCCTCCGCCACTCTGACGCCAGCAGCTAACAGTGGGCAGTGGGCTACAGGGTCGCCTTCCTCACCCTTGGAGGACAGGCTGGGATTAGGGCCCTGGCTGCCCTTGGGGAAGTCTCGGGGGCTTCTCATGAGTGTTGCTGCAGTCACGTGTGAAGCTTGTGCCGTCACAGGACTTGAGAATTACGTTTTTGAAGACAAATTTGAGAAGTAATAGTACGTCAGATATATGAAAGTAGTTAAGTATGTTACCTGGAAGGCTTTTCTGAACTGTGGTGCACTTCCAGAGGTACTGTAAGGCCTTCCAGTTTGACCTGTTAAGCCTCCAAGGTCGTGTGTATGAGTGGGATGCGTCTGTTTTGGCCAGCTGAGGGGGCTTTTATGGGAAAGGTGGCGGGGGCCAGGACGCTGAGGCGGAGGACAGCTGGTAGCCCAGCTGGTCCCTGGCAGCCTGACGCGTTCCCGCAGGTGACAGCTGCCTTCTCTGTCCACCGCGCATTTCTCCACCTCCAGGACTGCTGTGTGAGCTATGGGGGAATGTGGTACCTGAAAGGCACGGTTCAGTCTTGACAGCAGCAGCACACCGCTGACCCGCGGGCCTGAAGCCGGGCAGGGGCAGCGCGCCGGGAGCGCGAGACCTGATGGCTTGAGAAGACCCAGAGCAGGAGGGCGGCGCAGCCCGGGGCCTGTGGCCCGCGCGGTCCGGGGTCGAGGGGACCCTCCGCCACGGGTGCGACGCCAGCTCACGTGAGCCGCTCCCGGAGAGACCAGCCGGACCTTCTTTGCAGTACCGTTTGCAGTTCCTGGTGTATTTTGATTACTCATCGGTTTCATTCTCATAATAAAGAGTATACTGATGTGGGCAGGATGATGAAAATCATGGTTTAATATTTTCCTTTTTAAACTTAATGCCAACAAAGTCAAAGTTATGTTTACAAGACGAATAAAACCTCAACGGTTCTAATATGTAAAATGCCTAAAAGCCAGTATTTAGTCTTAGATGACTTGTTTGCTTAGACTCCTGCCATTCACTCAACCAAATTGGATTGTGTTGCCGTTGGTCTCGGTGGCCGCTTGCAGCAGCCTACTCTGTGTAGCAGTCTCAACTGTTTACATGAACCATAGGAAAAAAATCAGGCAAATCCATCTGTTACCGGTTTGCGTAAAGACGTGAGCCAAACCAGGTAAGTATAGAACAGGAATAAGTGAGGTTCTCAAACTCGGATGTACAAAATTTATATTTTGTGTATTTTTAAAATAAATGCTAACACTAACTTGGCAACATGGTGCTGTTATGTTCAGGCAGTTACAGGCAGGCGGCCTGGCGCTATGAAGGCGTCGCATGCCCGAAAGTCTCGGCGCGTGGCTCTTGGGAGCGCTGCACATTGTGCACGGGGCTCGCGCTGAGCGCGGACAGCGCCAAGGCCGGCTAGCTGCGCTCTGTGTGCTCAGCCGCCGGCATGAGCGTGCCGCACGGCGCAGCCCTGAGCAGTGTGAGAAGCCGGAGCTGCGGGGCGAGTCGTGAGCTCCGCTCATGGGCTTCCCGTAGCCTGTGGTGCAGCCCGACTGAAGGTTTAAGCTGCAGGCTGCTGTGTCCCCCCCCTGCCCCACTAGAAGTCCCAAATATTTCAGCCCTGAATCACTAAGCCATTGGTTGGGATATATTTGCCCAAAAATACTGGGTACTATAGTGTCCCTTATGGTCTTGGCTCTGATTGACAGTGTGCTGGGCCTGAAAAGATGAGCCAGGACTAAAACGGATTTGGAGTCTGCTGGCCGTTATATGTAGCCATGTTCCCACCTTCTTGTCAGAGGAAGATCCTGTCCGTGGAAAGCACAGCAGGTGCCCTGTGCCACCGTGTAGCAGCTCACAGGAGTTTGTGCTCAGTGAGGAAACCGCAGCCTTAAATACTTGAATAGAGGAAAAGAAATGAATGGAAACGTTGGATTCAAATAGCTAAGCCTACTTATATTTTCCTGTTACAACAGGAAAACAGTAGTTTTTTTTAAAAAACTTAAAGAGGAATTTGGGCTCTCAAGATAATAGAACAGGACACAGCACTCCTTCTCCCCAACATCCGCAGAGGGACCTCACAAGAGCCCAGGACACCCGGAGTGCAGACAGATGGAAGTGGCAGTGAACTCAGTTTCACCTTGGCCGAGCTGGCCTCCGCCAGTCCCAGGCAGGACAGCAGGGGGGGCATCCTGGGGTGGGGGGGACAGGAATAAGCATGGAACTGAGCCTTGGACCCCAAAACCACATCTGCTGGTACACTTCATATCTGAGCCCCACCCCCAGGTACCGCGCCGATCTCGGGCTCTGCGCGCACCGTCGCAGACTTGGGGTTCAGGCCACCATAAGGTCAGGCCTTCACAGTGGAGTGGACCACCCTGCAGACCTGGGCGCCAGGGCCACGTCAGTGCCAGGACAGCACCTGAGGCTCCAAGCAGCATGTGTTGGAAGAGTTACCGTTGCCTCCTCTGGGACTACGCCCTACAGCCCCGCACCAAACAGACCGCCGGCGAGGCCTGTCACAGTACATTTCAGCACTGAGCAGGCCACCCCGGATCCAGGCTTCCAAACTGCCCCTGGAGTGCCTGGTTCCACACCGCAGCCACACAGCCAGGCTTCGATCTGTAAGTCCCTGAGGTTTTTTTTTAATGTATTTGCTTGTTAACCAGGTCTCACTATACAGCTTGGACTCATAGTGCTCCTGTTTTAAGCCTCCTCAGTGCTGGGATTACAGGCATACAGCACTACGTCCAGACTTGGTGGCTGGCTCAGCCCGCAGTGGGGGTGGGGTGGCACAGCATGTGGTGCCAGGGATAGAACCACAGTCCCTCTGCTTGCCTAAGCAGACACTTTAGTCTGCTAAGCTGTCTCACCGGCCCCAAGCCCCTAAGTTTGAATCCTGTCTCACCCCGTAGCTTACCCTTGGACTCCAGACCCGTGACCACAGATGCAAACAGCTGGTCCCCTGCAGTGGATCCAGGGCCAACTCCGCAGACCAGCGCAGGCCCGTCTGCCTGCTGACCTGGCCAAGGTAGGTCCGCTGCTGACTAGCAGCAGCAAGCCTGCTTGTGAGCCAACCCAGATGGTTTGTCCAGAGTTTCTCCTAACAGGCCTGCCCTCCGTCAGCCTGAAGCAATTGGAAGTGGATCTTATTTCTTACATGTGCAGACAGCAGTGCACAGCCACAGGGGTGAAGAACACAAAGCTGTGACACCTCCAAAAGGATGAAATTAAGCACTAAAACTGACCACAAAGAAAAGAGGTTTATGAACTATCAAACTTGGCAAACTTCTATAGTTAAGGGAAACTTGAAGTAAAAAATTTTCTGAATAAAAATTCATAGGCTGAAAAGTACACCAATAAGCACCCCCCCCAAGAAACCAAGCAGAAAATCTTAAAAGAGTATTTGAAACATGAAGAAAAGCGAAGAGCTTATAGAATATATGGGACAAGCAAGTACTCAAGTTACGGGATTTCATGAAACACACCCATAAGGGGCTAGGCATGGTGGTATGCACCTGGTAATTCCAGCACTTGGGAGGCTGAGGCAGAAAAACTGGGAGTCTGGGGTCAGTCTGGCTGCATAGTGAGACCCTATATGAGAACAAGGAGCCAGACATCCCAGCACTTGGGAGGCTGAGGCACGAGGGTTGCCTTGAGTTCAAGGCTAACCTGGGCTGCGTGGCTGGACACTTACAAACACCCCCTCAGGACACACCCCAAAAATAAGTTAGGGGAGGGAGGGAAGGAATTAAGGCAAACAAGACAGCTGGTGTCAGGCGAGATGGCTCCCCAGTGAGGGCAGAAAACTATAGAGAACAGCAAGCCCAGGTGTGGTGGTTCCGCACCTGTAATAGCAGCTGTTCAGAAGGGCTGCAAATTCAAGGCTGGCCTGGGTAAGTTTAGACAAGCCTCTTTAAAAATGGAGAAAAAAAAAAGGCTGAGAAGGTACCCCAGTGGTAAGAGTGCTTATGTTTCGTCGGTGTGACCTTGGGCTCAAATCCCAGTTTAAAAAGTAAAAGCTGTGAGTGACTGGGTGGCGGTATCTAGCCTTTGGGAGGCTGAGGCAGGAGAGCCGAAGTTCAGAGTTAGCCTGAGCTACACAGACCGCTCAGGCCAGTCTGAGCGCCACAGAAAAGCTGCCTCCAAAGCGAACAAAAAGGTAATAGAAAGCTTTCTAAATTTGGAGAAAGAAAAATCTAGGTAAAGGAAAGCCAAAGATTTCCAACCAGGTTCTCAGTTACTGTTGTTGTTGCTGGGGAAAGCAAATCCCCAATACCTACACTAGTTAAAGAAGAACGAGCTTCTTGGTGCTCATAGTGCGCGTGGGGTTCAGGCCAGCGTCGGCGGGCTCCAGGGCAGGGGCGCTGGCTGGCACGGGAGAGGCTGGCGGGGGAGAGCGCGGCAGGCCACGCGCGGCCTGGCTGTCCCCCGTTGGCCGGCACCGCCCACCCCGAGACCGAGTCAGCACCCCGCGGTGCCCGAGAAGCCTGGTGCAGGAGCGCTGCTGTGGGAAGCGCGGTGACGGTCAGTGCGTTCTAATCTTGGAAATGCTGCGTGCGGTTCAAGTGTTCTCCCGTACACATACATGCCGTGAAGCATGTCAGCTGGCCATTCCACAGTGCACACGTGTTGTGAAACATTGTGCACAACAAGTAATGCGATGTTGTCCACCACAGTCGGGAGGGCCTGCCCGGAAAGCACACGGGCAAGCTCAGCGCTGCTTGGGCGGGCCAGCCGCAGCAGCTACCCGGAGGAAAGCGCTGCCAAGTCTGAGCAGACGCACCGAGAAGGGGAGAGCCGCAGAAGGACTGGGGATTACGGTGTGAAGGATGAAGCCAGAAACCACCGCAGCAGCCCTTCAGGAAGGCGTGAAAGGCCTGGTTACACGGCTGCGCCGCGTGGAGTCTGAACACGTGCACAGGGTTGCCTCCAGCCTGGAGGGAAAAGCCTCCCAGTTCTTAGGAAGCGATGAGTCACAGACCTCGGCAAGTGCAGGAGCGAAAGGCCTAGCTACCAGCGGGAGCCCCCGTCACCTTCCTGGAGAGCTGCCCTGCCCAAGGGAGGGCGCCGGGGCCAGCCCGGCTCGGCGGGAGCCGGCGGTGAGAGGGCAGGATCACCATGATCGGAGAGCTTTAGACTGCAAGGGCCTTCAACAGTCATAGTCAAGAAGGACTAAATAAATAAATGAAAAAATCAGTAGGTCCAGAAAAAGCCCAGGCAAAAGGCAAAAGGCACCGCCTTGCTCTTCTTTCCTCTCTCTCTTCTTCCCCCTCCCCCTCTCCCCCTCTCTCTCTTCTTCCCCCTCCCCCTCCTGTCTCCCCCC